GATTCACGCAGGTATGTGTTACTCCGCAGCGGTGACGACCCGACCAGGCTACAATAGTCCAAATATAAGTACTTATTATAAGTGTACCGTAGTGATTCAGAATAAGACAAAAACGCGGTTTGGAAGATGAATTCATGATGTACTCGCTCATTATATACATTTTGCAAATTTTGAACACAGAAAAAATTACATAGTGCTGCTTTAATAAATCTTTAATACATTAGCTCATCCATGAACATGATTTCTGCCCGAGTCCCGTCGGATTGCTTCGGCTGTGGGAATGAACACGACAACTCCCATGATTCCACACTCAGTCACGGCGTCATCTAACCACGCCTTTGTTTCTTTGTTTGTTTTGAATACGCGCCCTCTAGTGGCAAAAAATTACATAATGTGTCTTTAATCAGTTATTAGTTTCAGCCATTCAGATTGCAACAAAATGCATAAATGTAACCGCATAAATAGATAAAATGTCTGTATATTGGTTCTTTACCACTTTTTTTAGCTTTTGACAAACTAAAAAAAAACTTAAAAAAAGATAAACAATAGTAATAATAAGTAATTACAATATGGATGAATGGATGGATGGAATGGCAGAACGATATAATACTAAATTCACGAGTTCACACTCACATATAATTGAATTGAGCAAATAATACGCATATTTGGCGTGCTGTCCTGAGGGAGGGTTCCGAGCTCGGAATATAGCCCGAACCCAGAGAACTCCCCCATCCCTAGTATGGGATGAGAATAGTTTAGGAGTGAGGAGTTGGGGAGGAGGAGAGATGCCAGAAAACTGTCGTGGGGCAGAGGTAAGTTGGCTGTATATGTATTGTGCTAGTTAAGATGATTAACTAAACATGCGCCACCTGTGCCGAATTGATTGATTATCTGATCGTGCTCCTCCCAAACCTTGTTGATAAAACATCATTAAAACAAATAATAGAATAACAGACATAATGACAGATAGAATGATAGACAGGATATATAGATAGAGCAACAGAACAATCAACAAAATATTAACACTAGAACTAACACTAGAACATTAACATTATTATGTTAAAATGATACAACGATAGATTGAGAGGCAGGATGACAGACAGAATGACAGACAGAACGAAAGAACAACAGAACGATATACACAATATCAGTAAGATAGATATTAGATCAGACATTGAAAGACCAAAAAAACTAAGAATGACAGAACAAAAGAACAACAGACAGAATGATAGATAGAGCGACAGGATGATATACTGATGGAACGAAAGAACGATAGCTAAAACGACAGATCGACACAGACAGAATGGCAGACAAAACAATAGACAGACAGACAGAACAATAGAACAATCAATTGAATGATAAAATGAAAGAACGCATAAACATTAGAATGTTAGAATGACAGAACGATAGACTGACAGACAGAACGACAGATCGCAGATAGAACATCAGATAGATAGAATGACAGAACAGTAGAACAACAGACAGACAAATCGATAGAACAAAACAAATGGAAGATAGATAGATAGATAGATAGAGAGATAGATAGATAGATAGTAAGGCTGCACGATTAAACGAAATCGAACCGAAATCACGATTTGACTTAATGCGATTATTGAATCGCAAAGACTGCGATTTTTAATGAAATGAATATATGCACAGCGCCAGTAGTAAATGCTGCTCATCTCTGCAAGCGCTGTGAGTTTGAGTCACTTATAATAACGTGCATCTGATTAAGCAACACACTCCAAACATCCTCTCAAACTTAATGAGAAGCATTTATAAACCTGTTGTTGAGAACATTATAACATGATTTTACTCCAAAACATCAGTCGAGTGTTTAAAATAAGTTCATTTTCTGATCTGATGTGGCTTGTTATCACAGAACGATGCAGAAAATATATTCT